ATACAATGCAGAATGATGCTTGATGCAAATGCAAATGCAAGTTTTCAAGGAACTATAAAGCAGTTTGCAAACATTACATTAAGATAACACACTGGATATAGCAAAAATCTCATTTCATTAATATTGAAAGAATTACAGCCTTGAAGTACAATTTCATCAATCTTACAACACAAGAGAGAAAGAAATCTAGTTCTAAGGAAACATGTCCGAAAACGACCCAACTCTGAGCTGATACTTCTTGCGAAGCCTCTTGATTTATCTTACATAGTTGATCTTCATGGTGTCCTTCTCTTTCACGAGTCAATCCACGATACCCTTCCAAGAACCGGAGGTAAGAAGATGAACAGATGATGATATGCTAGAGGAAAATAAATCCTCTGGATCCCTTGATCTCTTCATGACACGTCGCTCAAGAACTCAATGAAGATTTTGCATACCGATAAGATACGCATACTCCTCAAAGGTTGGCAATAACTGATAATCTGGAAAACTAAATCAATGATGCAACAGATCATAGAACTGGACCAAGGTATTAAGAATCCCCTCTTCAACATCAGTCCTCAAAATAATCAACAATTTCCTAAACAACATTTGAAATCTACAGGACTAGATACCAAAGATCCAAGCTTTCTCAACTCTTGTAAGTCAAAACTCGTGAAAATGTACTTCTTAGTGTTACTTCTTTCAATATCCATGATTCTAAAAAAATTGCGATATTTGCAAAAAAGAAATCTCTGAGTTCCTTGAAAACTGAGAAAAAATGCTCATGAATGAATAGATGCAAGATGCAACACCCACAAATAAGACATACAAAGCACACAGGTTCAAAGGTTCGGCGCGAGCATGGAGCCAATGGTAAGAACCACCCACAATGGTATGTACTAAGGTTATATCATCACATGTAGAACAAGGTTCTAAAAAGTTCCCAGAGTCATAATTCCATCTTTTGGATATTATCGGCTTAAACGACTACTCGTCGGCCAACAATATTCTCAAGAGAAACTCGTCTGAGTGTGGTATCGCGTAACGACTACTTCAAGTCTACACCTGAACAACCACCGCACCACGTCCTAATAAGGCCAAGATGGGTTAAAGGGTTCTAAGGTCCTCAGCTTCTCAGGCTCCCAGTCAGAAAAAGTAATATCAATTACGACTATTCGTAAGACATCAGTAATTTCCAAAGTGGCCTCCACCGAGCGGGGGATCTCAAGTCAGCTTAGTAAGGACTACTCCACGTAAGCCAACAAGACTATACCACCCTCCTATCATAAGTGCACTCAAGTCCGGGTTAGGACTTATCTCACCACACAGATTACCAGGCACCAAAATAGAACAATCAATAACAAACAAGTCAAACAAAGAAACAATAAATAAATCAAAGTAGGCGAAACCCACTAGGAACCTAAATGTCCCCAGCAGAGTCGCCACTTTTCTGTAGCGGTAAAAATCGTGAGCGTAAGTTATTAATTAACTTAACTCAAAAAACAAGAGTCGCCACCGCACTTTTATTTTATCCAAATAAAGGAAAGGAAAAAGAGCGAACAAAACCAAAGAGTTCTAAAATAAGAACACGAGACAGAGATCGGGGTAAGGGGGTTGGTTACGCAATGGGAAGGTGTTAGCACCCAAAACGTCTATAGTACTCTATAGGAGCCCTTTGAAATATTTACGCTTTTTGGTTTGAAAATGGTTTGTTTGAAAAAAGATTGGGGAGATGAGAAGAGAATTATTTTTTAGATTTTTGTGTTTGGAGAGACTTATCGTCTCATGCCTACGTACCCACAAAGTGCAATATGGAATCAAAACCCCGTAGTTCGTGGTACAAATGACAAAAATTTGTTGGTTTTGCTTGATTTTAGATGTAAAGACAAGTCGTCATTTCAAGGAGAAAACTGCGACTATCCACCCACGAGTATTAAGGCAACATCTGCGTCACATAAAGATGGAGGATTTGCTTGGATTATCAACAAGACTATCACTCAACATCAACGTGGAAAATGTCAAAGTCTTAATAATATGGGGAATAGGAGATTTACATCTCAACTATAGAAATGAATCATGTCTAAACTTTATGAAAAGTTTTAAAGTGAAAAAGTGCATAAAGGCACAAAAAGAGTTGATGAGTTTTTGTATTTTTTATGTCTTTTGAAATTGGTCAAAGCATGATTAACATTGATTGACTTTTATTAAGAAAAAAACAAAGTTTAAAAATCACTTGACGAAAGTCAAGGTTTTATTGCGAAAGCGGTTTTGAAGTTTGAAACCAAGAAGGTTTTGAAAGAGGGAGAAAGTTTTGAAAATTTAAGAAGGGGAGGAGATGAAGTGACTATCCTAGAAACCAAAATAAGAGCTAGAGGTAAGAAAGATCTAACCGATTTGTAGCACACTCCCTAGCAAGCAAAAAAGAATTCCATCTGATTTAAAGCATAAGCTAATGAGCGAGCCAAATAAAGGCTAAGATCCACAATACTCCAAGCATAGGAATAAGAGTCCTAATTCTAAGTCCAAAGGTCCATGAAGTCCAAGGTCTAAGAGTAGTCCAAGAGCATAACCACAAAGTTAATAGCACCAAGTTTTTTAGAGATTTTTGATTCTTTATTAGTGTTTTGAACAAGGTATGGTCCAAGTGGACAAAAGAGAAATGACATAAACATAAACAAAGATATGATATGAAATGATAATATGGAAACATAAAAGTAAGAAATAAGGAGTAAGAAGAGAATACAAACAAAATTAAACAAGGATAATGTTAGTGAATTAGTAATTAGTGGTTAGAACATATGATCAATGATGATTAATTCTTGCACTTAGACCAAGGTTAATGAAAACTCATTAGAGGATTGATAGAATCAAAGCCTCCTAACAATGATTTTCATAGGTATTGGACTTAAGACAAACAACTAATCATACTTGGACTTTTAAACGTAAGTTTGAGCCACGAATGATCATTTTCCGATTAAGGGACACTTTAGCGCTATGTTAAGCAATCGTAATCGGGTTTATGTAGAAACCACGACTATCTGAGGCCGGTCAATAACAATGTTAGTGTTAACACATGTTAGAGAAGTGATATGTAAATCACTCTCCTAAAACATGCCACACAAAAAGAAAAGAGGTAGTGATCTCATCATAATCAAGATTTTTCATCAATTAACCAAAGGTAATCTATCACTATTCCAAAGTACGGAGAATTATCTCAATGATTATTCGTCCATAGATTTGAAATAATGAAGATTAAACAACCTTGATAATCAATAGTCTATAATCCATAGATTTCATCGATAAAAAATAAAAAGAAGAAGAATAAGAACTAAAATGAAAAGAAACCTCAATTTGAATCTTAAATCGATTAGACCATCATCAATATCAATCACCTCTCTTGGTGGATAAAATCGACACCCAAAGTCCATTGATATTGATGAGATGTTATCAAAATTCAAGGTCCAAATCTATTTTAAGAAACTATTTTAAAAAAAATATTAGAGAAAAAGAAAATTTGAAAAAAATTAAAGAAAAAGGGATGTTTAAAAACAAAATAAGGGGATGATGATAGTAAAAGGCCACACGGCCCAAATTCTTAAAAAAAGAAATAAAAAAAATTGAAATAATTGAAAAGGAAAAAGAGAAAGAAAAACAAATCAGAATATCATCTTCTTCATTTGCAACGTGCCACTATTCACGGCCATGGATGTTTCAGAGCTTTCCAGAAATTGGAGCGACGAGATGCGAAACCAACACGGTTAGATTCGAAATCAACAGCAGATTCTAAATACGCCAACAATTTCGAACGAAACTCAACTTCAGAATCAAATTTAGAACACAAGACCTCGACGAAACCGGTAACTACCTTCGAATTTTCGTGAGTAACAGTTGGATTTCTCTTCTCCTTCACGTTTCTGAAGATTTGTTGTATTGATGAAGATTTTCTGCGATTTGTGAGAGGCGAAAATGAGATGTGGTTTTGATGGTAATGGTTAAAGAAAAATTGAAGGGCAATGTTGATGAATTTTCAAGGATAGTGAAGTTTAATTGAATGAAGCTTGAAGGTGATTGAAGGTTGGGGTGATATTTCTGCAGAATTTTCTCGGCTGTTCAAGCTTGAGAAAATGAGAATGAAGCGCTCTCTATTTATAGAAGAGGTGAGTGATTTCAATTTGAATATTTCTGCTGCCGTTTTGATCTTTGTTTTTTTTGCGTTTTCATTTGATGCTTTGTGTGAACCGTGCGTGACCCATGTGCATCTTTCACGTCATTTTGATTTTTTCATTTTTTAGCTCACGTGTGTTATTCCTTCTTTTTTATTTCAGCTCATTTTCAAATATATGACGTGGATTGGCTTTCAAGTCTTACACGGCTTTGTCCACGTGATGTTTGTTTCTTCAACTCAATCTCAGTTTCGAGCCCCTTCACGCTCACTTATCTCTAGGTGAAATTTCCTTCGAGGATTACCAATGGGATCACCTTTTGCTGAAGCAAGATAACCCACTGTCTAGCATCAATGACACAGTCGTTCTTCTATTGGTCATCAACTAAAGTCTTGGAAATGGATGGAGAAAATTGGAATGCATTCATCAGTAGTTCTGCTATGACTTGACATAGGATGTTAGCCTGAAATTGTGACTTGAAGGCTTGCCTTGAGCTTCATAGCTTGTGGCTTGGCACATGAAGATTCGATTCGCATAAGAGATGACCAGCTTCAACTGCGTAGTGTTGACAAAAGGGCTTACCGACTCTAGTCCTGAAGAACTGAGCATACTTACAGTTGTTCCATTCATCCGAAGACATCATTCCGCATTAGAGCCAGGTGAACTAATAAGCAAGCTGCTCTGCTCTGGTTGTAAATCCTGAACTTGTTAAGGTGCAGTATGTTTACTTGAAACAGGGCTTCTATCATTAGCATTGAATATCATATGAAGAATTTGAGGAATGCTGGGCTCAGTGTCTGTCATCTTGATCTGCTAGCGACGGCTGCATCGAGTCCACATATGATGTACACTAATCTACTGGTGAAACAAAAGGATGAAACCACACAAATGCTTTTTCATAGAAGAAAGTTTCGAAGCAAAACTCCCAGCTATAGAGAGAGCCAAATCATATTTACCGTATTTCCATAACAAGAAAGCATACACTTGCAAACCTTCTTCATCAAGTGGCCCTTCTTTCTTCAAATTTTTACATTCCTGCAAAGCATCAACAACATTCCCTACCTTGGAAAGTGATCTATCCAAATTGATAGAAATATCCATGATACATGCGTTTTGATTACTCTCTGAGCCAATGCTAACTGCATGGCGTGCTAATGTATAAAATGTAGCAACAGACTTGTAATCCTTTTCAGCCTTACATACCAGTCCATGTAAGTTATGGGATTCAGGATGGTGAGGGGACAACTGCAGATTTAATTCAAAGATGCTATTTCCAAAGTGGAGCAATGAATGTTGTTCCCATGTTTTACAATCTGAATGAACTTGCCTGGAAGCTTTCCTTGAAAGAACCCAACATCTGTGAGTTTGAAGTTGGCCTGTTGGACCCAAATTAAAATTGCACCTTAACAATTAAAATTGCTTCCTTGTCTCTTGAATCTTCACACCAAGAGTTTTGTACAACACCATCGACAAACTCTTCCTGAGTCTGAAATTCCTCGTGATGCACTGATAACTTAACAATCTGATCTGGTTTTATAATACCTGTTGCAGGACTTACCTCAAGCCACCTCGGCAAGCCAAAGGAACCTCTCAACTGATGGTTTGCTGCCTTCCGATCCTCCATAATAGTAGACTGCCCTTCACAAATTATTTCAAACAAAGCACTGTCTTCTTTTCATTTATTAGTGATGCGCAAAAGTAATGTGTCCCGGTTTTGAAGAATTATGTTGTTTGTACTTATGATAGTTTCAGGAATCTTGTACAATTCTTTCAGAAGACATTTTATTTTCTCATTTGACTCGAGAATCTCTCCAAACTCCTGTCTCCGTATTGGTTCATCTACTCGAGCAATATTTGTAGAAATTATGCAGCGCACAGGCTTGTGGTCACTATCTGTGACATCCATGCATGCTTCATACTGTAATTATGAGGAGACAACAGGGTACTCCAAACTGCATTCAGCAACCAAAGAAGAGCGACTATCACGATACAAAATTATGTCACACCAGGCAGGGATGCGTTTCTTTTCACCAGAATCATACCCTGCCAAACCAGCTTGGTGCCGTTCAAACTTGTATGATTACAGCTGCTGCTTCATGTTGCTGCGGATGAGGTTGCCACTATGAACCGAAATTATGAGAAGGCAAGTTAACCGATGACTGTTGTAGGATCAATACCATACTGCCGCCATAGATGTGTCTTTGCAATGGAGTCTAAGTCTCTGCAAGATGCAAATCAGATTCAACAGAAGGCGACAATAATTGAGAAAGCACATTAACACTTGCAACTGAAGTAGGAATTGGCTTAGTCTAGCATTAGCATGCTGATCAATATTATCGAGCGTATTTACTTGTTCCAACTTTGAAGTTTTACCAATCCGTGTTGTCAACATCACCATATTGGGATACAACATAAAGAAGCTCCTCATGAGACAAGACAGTTGTTTCGTGATACCGCTTGTAGAAATTAGCTCCAAATGCACTGTATGGCAGCCAATCAGCTGGAACTACGTTCTCAACACCATCATCAATTAGTAGGTGTGTGGAACTCATTTTCAACCTGTTAGCAGCTTGGTTTTTTCAAATGCGGATGAAGAACACGATGCCGTCATGTTATATTATTGCCTACTACTTCAGGAATGTTGACTCATGATTATGATGAAGAGCCTCTTGTCAAGGGCACTAAATTAGAACAGCAACAGCCACAGCCATAATCCTTTTTTCCATTGAAAACTTATTATACTTGTAAAACTGAATGGAATAACTGGCGTGTGTTTTATCTTTTGCAGTGCATGAAGCAACAATTTTTCATTTTGGAATAAAGCTTTAATATTGTCAGAGGCTCGGGAATCAATGTTCTTTTTCATTGTTGAAAATGATGGTGTTGAGCAAGAGATTTATTCCATTGCAGCAATGAGTCTCTCTAAATTTGGAAACAACAATTAACTGGCAGTGAGCAGCTTGACTTGACAGCCTCACACTGTGAATCTATTACTTCCATATTATCTGTGCAATGTTGAGTACCAAACTCCTGAGACTTCTTATTTCCATTTGTCTCTGATGCATAGTCCTCAAGTCTGGAGGTAGATATTTTATCCCTATGTTGATCCAATGACAGAATCAAAATAATGCTTATCCAATAACTTTGCAGGATGGCAACACATATTGCAGTATATACAGCTTTCCTGATAAGATTAATGCTTATATTTCGTTCCGCACTAGAGCCATTTGTCTCCATACAACTTTTGTGCTTGTCGAACAAAGCTTGAAGAACAGTAAGCAAATGTAAACACGATTGAAAAAGATCTGACAAAACTTGGCAGCCGTTGCTTTATAACTGAACTGGTTTTTGATTGTTGGACTAGTGGATCTAAACTCCTGCAGATTAATCCCAGAATGATCACACCCCTCAACAGTCAGCAAAACATCACCTTTTCCTTGCTGGTTTGAATTGTGACTACCTTGCTAAAATATCCAGCTAGCAGGCTATAATGGGAGTGATTTGGTGAAGTGAACCCTTTCACAAGGGCATTGAAGAAAAAGTGCATTGTTGAAGTCAGCTTGTTAAGAATCTCTAAGGCAAGATCATCCAGACTTTTCTTCCTCTTGGTCATCTTTAAATCATGGGACGAGGATGCTTTCGGTGCATTAGAAATTGGTTCAGAATCAATGTTTAAAGCTTCTAAGTGACAAGCAGTTCTTCCACCTCTCATGCGAGATATCCCTTGCCGAGTACAGCGGTGCAAACCTTCTCTAGAACGGACTACAGAAACAAAATCACGCTTTCCACTCCACAGGGAATGTGAACCGGTCCTAGCAAAAACTGAGTTTATGTATCTAACTGTCTGCATATTTGTGTCATCATCACTCTCTTTGTCACTACTGGCAGTAGCACTGTTTTCGACCATTACAATTTCGGCACCAATATATGCAGTACTAGAAGCAAGACTCGTGGACGATGGTTGACCATCATATGCAGAGTTCCGACTTCCATCTTCAGCAACCAGTTTTTGAAACATCATAGCAACATCAACTTTAACATTCTACTCCAACAATAAGGAAAGCACCTCGATCCGACCATTGGCAACAACAGAAGCAAACAAATCATTTTCTCTCTTCTGATGATATCTGCATGAAGCTTATCACATGAATGATCGACCGGCATTTTAACTGCAGAAAAATCAACTGGAACCTTTTTTGAGTTGTCGAGGCCCCTTAAAAACTCAATTTAGTTAGGTACTGACACAAGCTCAACAGCAGTACATGCGATATTACTAAACAGTGGTAATACAGATTTCTCTAAAGCACTGCAAAAGATTGTGGCTAGGTTCCTGCGGGCAAACTTTAGCTCATACAAAATTGAATCACTTAGAAGGTCTGCTGATATATGCGGCAAAGTGACTCTCTTGAGTAGCTTACAGTTATCTTGCATGTCTGGCTCTTGAAAACTGCGTGATACACAATGAAGGGAAGTTTGAAGTAAATGTGAGAAGAACTTTTTCAACTGCTTCTTGGAACCATGATTTCCCCAAATATCAACATCTTTGCAGAGATTTGACCAAATGGCTATTGGCAATGAATTTTTGTTAGCAACATAAATTCCCTGATTCCATTTGTTGATTTGAGGTGCCAAAGAAACTAAATCTTCACTCTTAACATTATCAGAAATAAAGATCGGGGATTGATACACACACAATAAGTTTTCCATAATAAAATTAGTAAGCCCAGCATGTAATAAACCTTATTATCTATGCCACGAAATGAAGTAAGGATTGGGGTCATCAGCCTCATTAGTATGATTGTAGACAACATCCAAAATAACCTCTATGTTAGCATAATGCAAGGCTTTAACCATTTGCTTGAACTCTTGGGAAGCATTAGCTGGTCCTCCTCCAGCACTAGCATAGCGACTCATAGGAGCAAAGAAATTTATTGTTGAATAACCCCACTTATTAATCATGTGATCTCTAGGATTTGGACGCCTATGCAATTCCAACTCATCAAACTCAAAGATAGGCAGCAACTCCACTGCATTGATACCAAGCTCTAGAAGATGTGGGATCTTCTCAATCACGCCAAGATAGCTTCCACGAATATTGTTATCCAACCCGCTAGATTCATCAATTGTAAATGCACGGACATTCATCTCATATATAACAAGATCTTTCTCAGCAATATTTGGAAGCTTATTATTCTGTCCCCAGTCAAAAAGGCAAGTTATCAAAATCATATGTGCCCAGAAACTTAGACAACTTCTTGCTAGTATCCCCAAAATATCTCCGACCTTCAACTAGTTTTGCATAAGGATCAACAAGCATAATGCTTCTGTCATATCGATGCCCCTTCCCCAATCTTGAGATCCATCTATCCGATACCCGTACAGAACATTTCTCCTAGGGAGATCCTCAATACATATGTGCCAAATGTCCACTGTTTTGTTTAAATGAGGGTCCAAAGCCAGTTCTATCATACCACCATCCAGTGTGTCAATGCTTTCCCTTTCAGGAAGGACCAAACAAAGTGTGACAGCAGTCGCATGTTGTGAAAAAAACAAAGTTTATCCCGTTGTCGACTTGTGATATACCCAACGGAAATGTTTGGCCTGGAGAAATTTCCCCAACTCTGGTGCCACTGGCTTGGCCTTAACAGACATGCCCGTGTCTTGGTTTTGTAACAACATCACCACTAGATGAAATTAAATTGCGTTAGATATATCCTTAACATCAAATGAAACATCCTCAGAAAATTGACTAGAATCACCAGTACCACCAGCACCAAGCATGCCACGAGATAGCCAATTCAACCATCCTCGTGATTTAACATTGTGCTCATCACTAAAAGTGAATCAAACTTGTAATAAGTCTTGAATCATATCTTGACTTCATCAGATGAAACTCTGGTAATAAATGACAAAGGTTCTGAACCATTTTGAATTTGGTCTGAATTAATATCTGAGAAAATAAATCCACAGATGAACACAACCTGGACTGATGAATCTTGACCATAATAGTCTGGATCGAGCTTCTCATAAAACACTGCTCGATAAACTGATGATTCTCCACAAGACCACTTGACCTCGAATAATCATCTCTTGAGAATATAGACAACTGATACTGATACTTGCAAATGAAGTAATCCCTTGATAGTTTGACAAAGATGAGGTCAAACTTCCATCTGATTTAGACTCGAATGAATGTCCTTGCTATCAATCTCCTTACAAAGTCCTAAACACACAAAGAAAAAAAAGAAGAAACAAGCAAATTGAAAAATATTTTTTGTTAATTTGGTTAGATGTTAGTAAACATAAACAACAAACAGAAAGTAAGAAACACATAAGGGTGCAAAAGCCAAAAGTATG